GCTTCCTGGGGCCTTGGGAAAGGTAGACATGGAACCAGTCTGCAAACAGGGCAGCAAGGAGGGTTGGTAGACTTCCAGACTGCTCAGGCTCAGCAGGGAAGGGGATAGGGCAAGTCCTCCTGCAGCCATTCCCAGGCTATGGAAGGACAAGGCAGGGATTGCAGAACCCCTGTGGGAGGGAAAAGAAAGGGATGTTGTGTGCCCAGACTGTTTCAAGGCCCTTGACATGGTCTCCTGTGGTCTCCTTATGGCCAGACTGGTGACAGCTGGACTGGAGAAGTGAAACGTGGTGAGTGGGAAGTTGAATGACTGACGAGGGTCAAAAGTCATGGCACAAATTCCTCTTGGCAGCAACTCCCAGGTGACATCCATCAGGGACCAGCCCTTGACCATTCCTATGGAACATCTTTATTATGTCTCTGGATGATGGGATGAAATGCACTTTCCACTCCTTTGTGGATGATGCCAAGTTGCAGCAAGTCTGTGAGAAACCTCATCTAATTAATGGTGACTTGGACAAAAAATGTGGTCAAGATGACTGAGTTGGAGAAACTTGTCCTGCCATCAGGTGCCCAGCAAGGTCCAGGACAATGAAGAAAAAACTCATGGGTCAGAGGGAAAGCAATTCAAAAGGGGAGCAAACACAACCAACCCAAACCCAAACAAACACAGAATGACAGAATATGCTGAGGTGGAAGGGACCCACAAAGATCATCCAGTCCAACCCAACTCTTCCATTGCCATCTGCCCCCACCCCAGCAGGCTCTGGAGCAAAGCACGGCTGAGGTCCAGCCCAGCTCTGCTCTGACAGAAAGAACCTGCAGTCAGGGACAGGAAGAGGACAAAGTCTCGTTTAACCAGCCCGAGGAATAATGGGCTCAATGACCTCCTGTATTCCTGGGCACTTGAATGACCCTGTGGATCAGGTTTGGTAGCAGTGAGGGGGCTGCAGGTTTTCCTTAGGGAAGAGGACATCAAGAGTTGACTCTGTGTCAGAGAGAGCCAGTTTCAGGTGGCTCCAAAATGGACCAGCCAGTGCCCAAAGCTGAGCCAAAAAGCAATTCCAGAGGCACCTGTGTGATAACCCTTTGGAGAAAGGATAAAATCCAGGGTGCTGTAACCCAGAGAGGAGTGAGAGAAATGGGGGAGAAACAACCCTGCAGGCACCAAGGGGAGTGGAGAAGAAGGAGGAGTGAGAGAGCCTTGGTGAGCACCTGGCAGCCAAAAGCCAACCCCCAGCCCTGAGAGCCACAGCTGAGCCCAGCACAAAGCTCCTTTAGGTCTGGAGGTTCTCTGCAGCAGCTTTTTAGCAGAACTGCCAGATGGGCCATCAAAGGGGATGCTCAGCTGGGTCTGAAACCTGTGTGATCCTTGTCAGCCTTGGCTCTGTAGGATAAGAAAGAACTACAGAATCCTAAATAGTTTGAATCAGATGGGACCTTTATAGGACATCTAGTCCAACCCCCCCACAGTGAACAGGTTCACGTTCAACTACATCAGGTTGCTCAGAGCCCTTTCTAACCTGGCCTTGAATGTTTCCAAGGGTGGGGCATCTATGACCTCTCTGGGTGATCCGTGTCAGTGTTTCATCACCTTCAGTGTAAAAAATTTCTTCCTTATATCTAGTTCAAATCTGCTCTTTTTTAGTTGAAAACCATTATCACTTGTCTTATTACAACTAAGTCTGTGCCCATCCTTCTTATAGGTATGATCTCAGGAGCTCCTGACAAGCCTTGACCAAACCAGCTGAGCAATGAAGTGTCCCTGGACTGGACCAAGTGCTGCTGGATGATGAATGTGGGAACAATTTGGAGTGGAACAGTTGGGGAACACAGGATAATCAGTCATCCCATGAAAGCCTTGGAACATTCGCTTCCTGAATTGTGGCCCAAATGGAATAGTTTGGATACAATTCCCAAATAGTTTGGAAACTCCAGTCATTCCTGACACCAGGATGGAAATTCAGCAGATCACTAAAGCCAGTCACCTTGGGAGCCCACAACCAGCGGGGCTGAGGGAGGCCCTGGCAGCTCCCCAGCACCTCCCTCTCAGTGGGACACCTCTGGCAGCCTCTCCCAGCTCGGGAACCCTCCAGTTTCCAACACTCCAAAGACCCTCACTGGTGCCCAGGACAATTCTGATGCCCCTCAACAAACACTCCTCCAGCTGTGACCCTTGTCTGATGGGGAAAAAAAAGGGATTTGTGGCAGTGTTTCCCTGACAACAAGGAGAATTTGGGAGAGGGACCTTTCCACACCCAGCTCTTGATGTGTCCACACATCTCTGCCTGGGTGTGGGTGTGAATTGACTGTGGTGGAAATGTTGTTCTTGGGAATCTGTAATTCAGTCACTGTTAAAATTGTAGTAAATGCTATTAAATTGCTTGAAAACTGCTCAACAGGTCAATGATTAAGTGCTACTAATCTCTTTTTCCCCCTTTGTCTCTGGATCAAAATCATTTCCGCCCTGACCCTCTTGCATCCCAAAGATCTTTGGAAATCATTCCTTTTCATCAAAAAATATATATTTTTCGTGATGTCCACTTTAAAATCTTCCTCCTTAGCTAAACTACAAAACAACTCCAATTAGCTGTAGAAGTCTTGAAGACTTGAAGACAATTAAAGGAATGAAAATAATTTGGTTTTCAATGTTTTAATGGGTACCACAGCGTGTTTGGAGTTGCATCAGCTGTCAGTCCAAGATGGGCCATGTCAGAACTGGTGAGGTTGGGGAGTGAGGAGCAAAATTGATCATCCAGGGTCAGTGTGGATCTCCTGAGGAGACACTCAGCATCAAGATCACTTGGAGAACACCTCTATCACCTCTTCTCTGAACTACAAAATTATCCATCATTGAATTAAAACAAAAAAAGTACAAACTTGGAAGACTTGTTTTGAAATTGCCTTGAAGACAATTAAAGGAAAACAAAGAGATCCTGAGGGATTTCTGCATTTTAATGAGCCCCACGGTGTGTTTGCAGCCCAGCCCATGGTCCTGAGGTGCTGAGAGAAGATTGAAGCAGCTGCTGCAGAAGTCAGAAGCCAAAGTCCAAGTGCCTTGAAGCATTGCTGGGCCCCACTGAGGGCAGGCACTGCCAAAGCCTCCCCAGGGACTCCTTGGAGCAGCTCCTTGGAGGCCAGGAGTGCAGGCAGACAAAGGCTCTGGGCAGGCCCCTGCAATGCTGAGCAAAGCCTGCCTTGGTTTTGTGGAGCACAAAGGCCAAGGGCTGAGCCCCAGGCCCTGGCCCAGCAGATCCTGTCCCTCCCGGCTGGCTCAGGGCTGTTTGGGGGGCACTGGGATGGGAGGGGAGGAACAACCAAGGCCCAAAACTGGGCAACCCCTGCCAGGCTCCTGAGGGAGGGGCGAGGCAGAAACCAAGGGCAGAACCTGCCAGGAAAGTTGCTTGTGGTGGCCTGAGTGGCAGAGGCAGCTGCCAGAGGCAAGGGGACAAAGGCCTGGGTGCCTTTGGGCCTTGCAGCCCTGCCAGAGCCCTTGGCCATCTCTCCTGCAGGCTGTCCTGCCCTGGCCCTGCTGCTGCTCTGGCCTTGCAGGCTGCACACACCCCTCCTGCTTTCCCACCCCCTCCCAGCAGCATTTCTAGACCCTCCCTGATGGCTCTGCACCAGCTCTGGCTGTTGCCATGTGCACTTGGCCTTCTGAACTTGGATCCTGAGCCCCTGTGCCACAGGACATCCCTCCCAGAGCCCAGGCCCTTCTCCTGGGGGTCACTGCAGAGCTGAGCAGATCCAGGTCACCTCCCATTCCTCTGCCAACCCCCTGGGCCTGCTCGGGGCCCTGCAGGTCCTTGCCCTGCTCCCAAGGGCTGTGGGGGTGCTGAATGGTCAGGGCTTAGGGTTTAGAGCTCAGGGTGGGGTTTAGGCAGAACTTTGGGAGGTTTGTTGTTCTGCTGGCAGTGTCTGGGTCATGATTAGGGGAAGAGGGTTTTGGGCTGGGTTAGGATTAAAGCTTAGGTTTTCATACCAACCATACAGGTTTGGGATTGGTAAGAGTCTGGAGTTCTGGGTTTGGGCTTTGCCTTTGAGTTCAGGGTGAGTTTGGAATTAGAGCAGTGGATTCCTTTCAATTGGGGGGGGCAACACTTTTAGGTAGTGTTGGGATTTGAAGTTACAAAGAGAGTAAAGGCCTACCAGGAGTGTTTGCACAGTCAGTGTTTCAGCACCCTCAGCATTCCCTGAGCCTGTTTTTACCTCATCAAAATCTTTCCTCTCTGTTGGTGTGTTGGGTCTGGCTGAGCTGCAGTTCAGTTCCCCACAGCAGCCCTCCCAGGGCTGGGCTTGGCATTGGCAGCTGGAAGGGGGTTGAGAACACCCCAGTGTTTTGGCCACTGCTGAGCACAGCACCAACACTGGGACATTCCTTCCTTAGCTGAGGGCAAGAGCCTGGCAGGGGACCCAAGTAGGCCAGCTGAGCCCAACTGAGCCAAGGGACATTGCAGCCCATGGGAGGTCAGCTCAGCTCTAAAAGCTGAGGCAGGGAGCAGGAGGGGGGCATTCATTGCCTGATGGCTGCCTGCTGAGGAACCGTCCCACGGACCCAAGCCCTGCTCCTCGGGAGTGGCCAACCATGGCTGCTCATGGGAAGCAGAGAACAAACCCTGCTGTTTTTCACTTCTGCGCGTGCAAGCTTTGCTTTTTGCTTTAAATAAACTGCCTTATCCCAACCCATGGGTTGTTTTTTTTTTCTGCCTTACTCACTCCCTTTCCCACTGGGAAGGGGAGTGATAGAGTGGTTGGGTGGGCACCTGACCGAGGTCAACACACCACAGTCGCAGAGGAAGGATCCCAGATAAACACGGCACTGCATGAGAGTTTATTTTGTTGAAATATAGAGATAGCACGATTACTCAATTACAGAGTTAGAGAGACAAATTCAAGAGGTAAACAGTGATCCAGATGAGGGGATGAATCAAAAAATTTCATTGTGTGCAACATATTGACAAGAAGACCTGAGAAGGAAGGCTGAGATGCTCATGAGTTTCATTATGAATGCTGTACAGAGGAAAAGAGGCAGGTTATTGCTGCTGAAAAGCATCTAGTCATCATTTTCCTCAGAGCGTCCCTGAGCTCCTGGTTCCTCAGGCTGTAGATAAAGGGATTCAGTGCTGGAGACACCACTGAGTACAGAACTGACAGGGCCAGATCCAGGGATGGAGAGGAGATGGAGGGAGGCTTCAGGTAGGCAAATATGGCAGTGCTGACAAACAGGGAGACCACGGTCAGGTGAGGGAGGCACGTGGAAAAGGCTTTGTGCCGTCCCTGCTGAGAGGGGATCCTCAGCACAGCCCTGAAGATCTGCACATAGGAGAAAACAATGAAAACAAAACCACCAAATATTAAAGAGGAACTAACCACAGTGAGCCCAATTTCCCTGAGGTAGCCTGAGTGTGAGCAGGAGAGCTTGAGGATGTGTGGGATTTCACAGAAGAACTGGCCCAGGGCATTGCCCTGGCACAGGGGCAGGGAAAATGCATTGGCTGTGTGCAGCAGAGCATTGAGAAACCCAGCAGCCCAGGCAGCTGCTGCCATGTGGGCACAAGCTCTGCTGCCCAGGAGGGTCCCGTAGTGCAGGGGTTTGCAGATGGCAACGTAGCGGTCATAGCACATGATGGTGAGGAGGGAAAACTCTGCTGAGATGAAGAAGAAAAAGAAGAAGACCTGTGCAGCACATCCCGTGTAGGTGATGGTTGTGGTGTCCCAGAGGGAATTGTGCATGGCTTTGGGGACAGTGGTGCAGATGCAGCCCAGGTCTGTGAGGGAGAGGTTGAGCAGGAAGAAGCCCATGGGGGTGTGCAGGTGGTGGTCGCAGGCTACGGCGCTGAGGATGAGGCCGTTGGCCAGGAGGGCAGCCAGGGAGATGGCCAGGAAGAGCCAGAAGTGCAGGAGCTGCAGCTCCCGCCTGTCTGCGAATGCCAGGAGGAGGAACTGGGTGAGGGAGCTGCTGTTGGACATTTACTCCATCATCAGAGTATTTTAATCTGTTGAGGAGGAAAAGTCACTGTTGAGTTAGACCAGGCTTCTGCAGCCAAACATTACACGTCTCACAGCCACCCCACTCTCAGGCTCTCTTTCCTCACTCAGACCTCCCTGCAGCTCCCCTCCCCTGAGCTCTGGCTTTTTCTGGCTGAGAGGACCATGGGAAGCAGTAACTCTGTGATGGGCTCCCAAGGACTCCTTCTTGCTCTGCTGAGAGAGGGAACTTGGAATGCAGGGTGATCTCAAATTAAAGGTACTCGTGATACATCCAAGAGCTTCTCAGCTTTGCTGTTTGCAGTTTGCCCAAATGAAGGACTGAGCTGAGGGAATTCTCTGTATTTGTTCACCCACTTGCACCTGCCACACTTAGGAGTGGTTGTGGAGGTTTGAAATCCCTGACATTTCTATTGCACAGCAGGTCAAATCTTGTGGGTTCTGAGGGGCCCAGGGACGGTCCCTTAGTGCAGAGAGAAGAGCTGCTCTGCCCGTCAGTCCTGTGCTCAACTGCCCTGTGCTGGCAGCTTGGAGCTGGAGGAGCATCACACTCAGCTGTTCCCCTAATGAGAAACTGCACAGATATCCAAGAAATCCATGTCAAAAGAACAGATTGACACACTCCTCACCTTTTCATCTCTCCCCTCCCAGAGTGAGACACAAAATGCTCCTTGCAACTGCCCAGAGCATTTGCATGGATTTAGCACTGAGGAGTTTTCTCCATGGTGATCCTGTGCAGCACAGAGATCCTATGGCAGAGCTGCGCCCTTCTGGAGGGCACCTGCAGCCCTGCAGGACACCCAGGCAAACAGCTGAAGACCCTGAAGGTGCCTGGAGGGCACTTGGGCACTTGGCTCCCCCAGACACATCCCCACAGCAGCACCCAAAGGGTTTGTGTCTGGACAGGAATCTGCCCCCCCAAACCCCACACTGGCTCAGAAAAGCCACTGGTGAGAACAAGGAGAGCCCGGGCAGCAGGGGATGGCAGTGAAATGCCACAGTGCTGCTGCCAAGGGAGGAGGGACACAGAGAGACAGCTGGAAATCAGGGCCTTGTCCTTGCCTGGGTTCTGGCTGCTGCAGGGCAATGCACAGCCCAGCCCCCGTGGGCCTGAGGGCACAGGCTCTGCTTAGGCTGGGAAAGGAGCCCAGGCAGGAGCTGCTCAGGGAAGGGGTCTGTGCCACAGGGACAGCAGGGAGGGGCCCCCATCCCCCTGCCCAGCCCTTGTGGCAGCAGCTGCCTCTCCCTGCCTGCCTGTCTCTGGGTGAGGAGCTGTTCCTGACAGCAGCCCCTGCCTGTGCCCAGCTCAGCTCCCTGCCAGTGCTGCCAGAGCCATCCCCAGCCCAGTGCCCAGGGGCAGCTCTGCCTGGGCAGGGGCTGCAGAGCAGATCCCAGACAGCCTGCGGTGGCTGGGAAGGCGGAGGTGTTCTGGGGGGATGTGCTTCCTGAGAAGGGCCCCTGGAAATGGCAGGAGGTGGAGCTGAAGCTGTGAGGAGCCCTGAGCCTGCAGCTGAAGGGTCCTGCCCAGCCCTGCCCTGCCCTGAGGGGTCACTCCTTCCACCCACCCCTTCTCCCTGCAGGGCCGTGGCAGCTCCTTGGCCGGGCTGAGAGCTGCCCCTGGCAGGCAGCAGAGTCCCTGCCCCAGCACACAGAGCCCTGGGGCAGGACCCTGCTCTGCCCCACAGCCCTGGGCACCCCTGGCTGCACCCCCACCTTCCCACCCCACAGCCAGCCCTGGCCCAGGGAACCTTCTTGCCCTGGGCCTCTGAGGGGGCAGCAGCAAGTCCTGCTCTGCAGCAGCTTCTCCTGCTGCACCCCAGCAAATCCAGCAGAGCCATCCTGACAGCTCCTGCCACTGGGGGCATTTGGCAGCTGGGAGAGGCACTTGCAGGAACTCACCTGCACTGCTCTGCAGCCACAGCCTGACCGTGGCAAAGGGCTGGCAAGGTTCCTGCCCTGAGCAGCTCTGCCCTGTCCTCCCACCCCAGGATCCCTTGAACCTCCTGCTCCCTTCTCCTCTCTGCCCTTGCTGCCTGCAGCTCCTGCCCTGCTCTGCCATATGGCCACTTCCCCTGCACTGCAGCAGCTGGGAGAGTCCTGCTGAAAGATCCTAGAAGCTGTGGGATGTGCCAGCTTTAGGAGATGCCTCCAGGAAGGCAAGTTGAACTTTCCTACAGCCAGAGAATTCTTCCTTCAAATCCTGGGAAGGTTTCTGGTGTAGTGAGAGCTCAGTCACCTCCCAGCCCAGGCTGCCTCTCATCTCTCTGCCTTCTCTCCTGTGCCCTGGGTGCTGCAGGCAGTGCCCTCAGCCCTGCTGGGCTGTGCAGAGGAGCTGCTCACCAGCAGAGCTGGCTCTTTGAAGCTCTTCTTGCTTGCCAGGAGCTTCCTGTGTGCCAGGAGCCCGGCCCAGCTCAGCAGCACAGCAACAGCCCCAGGCAGCCCTTGCTCTGCCCCTCTGGGCTCCCTCCAGCTGTCCCTGGGGCTCCAGGGGAATCTGCTGGCACACAGCTGAAGGAAATAATGATGTGCCTTCTCTCAGCTGGGCACGGGCACAGACACTTCTTTCAGCAGGGTCATTTCTCCAAACAGACACAGAGTAAAGTTCAAGAGTCCCCTTTTCATGTCCCATCATTAGACAGGAAACCCAGACAGTGCCCAGGAGGGATCCCCTTCACCTGCACTGAGGGAAGGGACTCAGCTGAGTCAACAGAGGTGTCTCCTTGTGGCTCTGCAGACCTGGGGCCAGAAGGACACTCAGCTCCCTCCACAACCCCCATGGGCTGGGATTCCTCCTGCCCCACTTCAGTGGGCCCAAAACAGGCCCCTGCAGGTGACTCCTTGTCCCAGCTCCCATGGCAATGAAGGAAGACCAAAGCCAGGAGTGACCTGCTGGGACACAAAGCCCTGGTTCCTTCTGAGGTGCCAGAGGTGACCGAGATTCCTGCTGGGAACTGCAGGCTCCAGTGGAGCAGTTCCTAGAGCCAGGGCAGCAGCTGTGGGATCTTCTTGGAGGCTGCTGGGACATTGCTTTGGCCAACTTCAGTGGCAGAAGGGGCCCACATGTAGGACAGGGGAACCTGTCACTGTTCCTTCTGTCCAGGGCAGCCCCTAGAGGTGTTCAGGTGACCAAATGGAGTCAGGTGGCACAGGGAGAGAGGTCTCTCTGCTGTTCTTTATCAGGGTATTTTCTACATGTCCTCAGAGTACAATGGCAGTTGTCTCCTGGACATCCCTTCACTGCTGAACCTAATTCAGGGCGGCAGAGCCTGGATTGAACAGCCAAAGAGGGGCCTGTAGTGCCAGGGGAGGTGCCAGGGCTCTGCAGCACAAGTGCAGCAGCTGCCATGGACAGCACAGGGCCTGTGCAGGAACCCCGTCCCCATTCCCAGCAGTTGTGGGACAGGCACCACCCAGGGCTTCTCAGACACATTGGGGGCCTTTGGGGCAGGGAGTGAATCCCAGCCCTGCAGGGACACAAAGGCTGTCCCTTCTCTGCCCAGCCAAGGCCGGGCCAGGCACGAGTCCAAATCCCATCAGCCCAGGCTGTCCACACTTGTTTCCTCCCTCTGCTGGCTCTTCTCTCCCCCAGCATTTCAGCAGCATGTGCTGATCTCCTCAGGGATCAGGCCTGGGATTTTCCCCCTGGGCCTGAGTCCCAGCACGTCCACCCCCAAGGCCATTGTCAGCAAAGCCTCTGCACACCCCAGCTCTCGGGGCTTTCAGAGCAGCTTTCCCCACTGCAAGTCTGTTCTTACCCCGGTGCCCCACTGAGGGGCTGCAGCCAGACAGGCCCCAATGCCCTGCGTGTGGGGCACAGGCAGGAGGAACTGCAGCCCCAAGTCTCTCTTCATTCCACTTGCAGGCAATAACAGCCCAGGCCTGCTGAGACAGTTCCCAGGTTGCAGGGCTGTGATGGGTTGGGAGAGAAGGCCAAGGAGACACAGGAGAGAAAGAGCAGGAGAGAGGTGTCCTCAGCAGGAAGGAGCTTCCTTGACCTGTGGAGCTGCTCTAGGGGATGAACAAATTGGGTGAACTTTTGTGGGTGAGGGTCAGAGGAGAGACTGGTTTGGGTGCCCTTGTGGAGTGAGACAAAGAGCCCATTCAAGTTGGCTTTGATAACCCTGGAATTCACTGGAAAGGCACCACAACAGGATGGAAAGAGTCCCAGAGGTTGGTGCAGAGTCTTGGTCAAGACACCCCTTGGTACACAGGCCTTTGGAGCACAGCTGGCAGGTTGGTGGACAACAGGGAGGCTCATCTGCATCTGCTTCTCTCCAAGAGGAACCAAGAGGTTGCCATAGTAACTGACTGTAGAAACGGGAATGTATGGTGGTTGCCATGGTAACTGACGGTAGCAATGGAAATGTCTGATGGTTGCCATGGTAACTGACCATGGGAACAGCAATGTATAATGGTTGCCATGGTATTTGACTGTACCAGTGAGAGTTATGATGGTTCCCATGGTAACTGATAGTAGCAATGAGAATGTATGATGGTTGCCATGATAACCGACTGTACCAGTGGGAAGTATGATGGTTCCTGTGGTAACTGACCATAGTACTGGGAATGTATGCTGGTTGCCATGGTAACTGACTGTAGCA